TCCCCAGATTGGGGAAGTTTTCAGCAATTCTTTCTTCAAAGACACTTTCTATCCCTTTTTCTCTCACTTCTTCTTCTGATACCCCGTAATGCAAATATTGTTCCGTTTGGATTGCTCACACAGTTCTCTCAATATTCTTTCATTTCTAGACATCCCATTTTCTCTCTCTGCCTCAGCTTCTCCATATTCCTGTTCTCTTATTTCTATTCCATTAACAGTCTCTTTCACTTCATCCAGTCTTCTCTTAAATCCTTCCATTGTCTATTTCATTTCTATTATCTCCCTCCTGAATTCCCCCCTTAGCTCTTGAATATTTCTCCATCAACTTGCGTATGACTTTTATTTTGAATTCTTTTTCCGGAAAATTGGTGATTTTAGTATCACTAACCGTCTTTTTGGTGTTTGAGGGATTTTGGATTGAACAAGTTTCTTTTACCTTTTCCTGAGGATGGGAGTGGTCGCCGACGAGTGGCACATGTGTCAGCTGGGAGAACAAGTTCCCTACATGCTTGCCTTGCCTGTCTCCGCTGTCTGTGATGGTTAACCCCACACAGTGAGATGCCTCTGGGTTAATAACCTAGGCTGCTGTCAGCGGGGCAGCCCTCAGAATGGCCTAGGGCACTGGCAGGTGTCGCAGGCCAGCAGCGCATAGGTCTGCCATAAGGACAAGGCTCCTTTGTGTCTCCTGGTCTCTGCTGTCTATGCCAGTCAACTGCATGCAGCGAGCAGCCTCTGGGTTATTCCCCTAAGGTGCCATGGGTGAGGCAGCCTTTGAGATGGCCTCGGGCAATGGTGGGGGTCGCAGGCCATCAGCATGTGTTCTGCCATGAAAACAGAGCCTCTTCATGCCTCCTGGTATCTGTATCCATCTCCACTGTCTGTATCAGTCAACTGCGGGCAGGGAGCAGTCCCTGGGTCTGCACCGTTTAGCCATGTGCAGGAAGAAGCCTCTGTGCTAAGCTGTGTGGTTGTTGTAGGCATGTCTGCTCTCTGGCTGGTCTGCATGAATGGCAGGGACAGCCAGTTTGCTTGCAGGTGCCAGTAGTGAGGGAGGAATTGCAGGCTGTTTATTGCTGTGAGGGACCTCCGAGCTGCAGTGCCAACCAGGGGGCTTGGGCACCTGAAGTTCCTTAAAGTTCTCAACCTGCTGGGCTGAGTGTGCCAGGAAGATTCTATCCACCTGTTAAACCCTATTCCCTTTAAGACTTTTAAAGCACCTGCTTTTCTTTTGTCCTAGGGCAGCTGGCTGTGGAAACCTGTTCACAGTCTTAGTCTCAGATTTTGCTTTTCCATTCCTCTAATATCCACTATACCACTATATCCACAATGTGTGTCTGTGCTCCCAGTGCAGATTACTAGGGCTGGTTATTTAGCAGTCCTGTACTTCTACTCTCTCTGCACTCTGATTCTTTTCCTCTGCCAGTGAGCTTGTGTTGGGGGAGTGCTCAGGTCCCTCCAGGTTGTGCCTTTGTACTTTACCGTTTTCTGTGAGATGTTTGGTTCTCGCAGATGCAGACTGGCTGGTGTGCTGTGCCTTCTGGTCACACTTTTAGGAATAGTTGTATTTGCTGTATATTCAAAATATATATGGTTTTGGGAGATTTCCACTACCCTACTCACACTGCCATCTTTTCCTCTCTCCGAGTCTCATGTGTTAAATGACAGTGTACTAAATGAATATTAGCCTTATAGTATTTTTTATTTTTCTTTACATTGTTAGTTGACAGAGAAAATTTAATGTTTTGACAAATGTTTAAAGTTCATGGAACAATTGTAATTTTTCCCATCAATTATTATTATCACCTTGCATGGTTTCAACCTGCACAATCATTTGTATGGCCCTGTTCCCTCATGCAAATCAAGGACTGCCTGAACATGTATAAATAAGACACAACCTTCCCTCCCTCCCCCACGAACATACAAGGAAGAAAGCACATATTTTTTCAGATGGAAGTCATTGGAATGTGGACTATTGCATTCCTTTCATTTACCTTTTAAATGGTTTCCAAATGTTTTATAATAAGTATATATCATGAGCATGAGGTAAGAGTAGCATAATGTACTAGAGAGAATGTGGGGTTTAGACCCAGAAAAATTTCTGTACCAATTTTACTTACTTCACTTTCAAACTTCGAGCAAATCATTTCCTTTATCTAGCCTTTAATTTCATCATCTGTAAAAATGGATTAGCAATACATACCTTGCAGGAAAAGAATTCTTCAAGGGACACAGTTGGATTATTTCCAGGCTCCAGACATCAGGGGAAGAGTTCTTGGTTATTTATTTGTTTTGGTTGGAGTGTAGGAGATGGCCATCTTATTGGCTGACCTCTGATTTAATGGTATAGCTTTTTTTGAATGGAAAGATTTTTTAAAGCTAATTCTAGTATGCTCCCTGGGGAGTAGAAAATGCTGGCATAGAAGTAAACAATGGGGATTTCTGTTGGTTTGCTTTGGGGTAAATATTAGTAACATAATGTCTACATTTTTAAAAGTGAAATTTAGTAATTTTAAGCTTTAAGATTTTGCAGAGCAACTTGGAATAGCACAGGCAAGTGAAAACAACATGAAGTTACAGTGTATATAGAATTATAAAAGTTTGAATTATAGAAGCTAATAAGTAAATTTTATAAAAAAATTATCTAGAAAAAATTTCACCTGAAGTCCAAAAGCAGCAAAGGTCAAGTTACAAGTAACTTCTACCTTGATGGTACAACTTCTCATTCCTGATGGAAAGATTCCAGGCTCAGTTTTATTAAATCTGTCTTATTAAACAAGACCCTTTGAATCCTGTGTGGTGATACTTTTCTAGGATTCTCTAAAACTTTTCTAGTTTGTTAGGTTATGGATAACATCAAAAATTCTTGAAATAAATGATACTAGAATTGCTAGTTGCCAATGACTCAAGTAAATAGTATAACTATGCACTGTTGCCATTATAAAGGAATGATTTTACCTTCAATTCATTTAAATGGAAACTGTACAGTTCTATAGTTTTATATAACTTGTTCTACACAGTTATATAGTTTCACATAAGGTTATGTATAACCTTAGTTGGGTCCTTTTAAAATTACAATATATTTTCTCAAATTTAGAGTCAATAAAATACAGAGCAATCTGTCATTAACCCCAGTGAGAAGACCTAGAAAAAGGGCTTTTGGCTAATTAAATATATAAAAGGTGAGGTAGCAAATGAAAAGTTGTGAGTTTACATAACTTAGATACAATCACATATTTAAAATGGCATATTCTATAATATGCCATTTTAAATTGTAGTTTTATTTGATTCTCACAAAAAGTAAAACAATTTTATTCCAACTCTTAATGCTGGATTGTTATTGATATCCTTATCAACACTAGAATCTTTTTTTGACTCATCTGGCATATTCTCTGGTACACTTGATCTTCAAGTCCAACAAAATACTACAGCCATTTTGAGACCAGTGATATTGTCTCTGAGCATCTCTTGGCAAGACGTAAGTATTCTTATACATCAAATAAAATTTTCAACTTATGTTCTCCACAAGTAACCTGCTGGCACCAAATTTCCAGCAGTGCAATGGCAGGTGCTGCCCAATGTCAAGTCTTGGGTGTAATCTCACCCCCTCCACCCCCATGATGCTTCTCCCAGACCTTCCCTTCTCCCTTTTGCTCTTTCAGGCCTTGTAAACTTTGTTGGCAAATCCTTTGTATTAAATCCCTTCTATCTGAACTGCCAAGAATTTTCATGACTGTATGCTCATAGGTACACCTTCCTAGTAAGGTTCCCCAACCACCTGCCACTTAATGATATGCCTGAATCAGTTGTTTCAAATGGTGACTTTTCTTGTTCTATTCATTCTACAATAACTAGCTGAAATTCTTTTGACTGGCATAACTTCGCCTCGTCCAGCTAAGATGTTTGGTGAGGAAAAAAACAAGACAAAACAAAACACTTTGCTGGCTAATCCAAACATGTCTATTAGCAAGATTCAGCCACATTTGCAGCCCTAGTCTGTTGCATGAAGTGCATATTCCTAAGCATGGTATGTACAGCTCTTCTTGAACTCATCGCAGCCTGCCTTATCTCCCACCAACCCTTCCTCCTTCATCCCAAACATGCACAGCCCAGGATATGCTTGTATTTCCATCTCCTTTTTTGGCCTTTCTGCCTTCTCAAACAATTCTATTCAGCAAGCACTCCCCTTCTCCTTTGCTTGCCTGAAGAATGTCTGGTTATACCTTTCTATTCAACTCAGTTATTACCTTCTCAAGGACGTCTTTCTTGACATTTGCAGGTAGAGTGAAACACTTCCTCATTGGTATGTTCTAATGTTGCCCTCCCCATAACACAACAATAGAGAAAAGAATAAAGAAGGTATGATAAAGATTCCTTTAACTCCCAACATCCGGAGATGATCATTATTTAAATTTTGGAGATCATCATTCTAAGGTTTGCTCATTCTCTTTCTCTTTATACATTCATCTGTCTCTATGTCTTTTTCCCTCCTTCCTTCCATCACATTTTACATATGTCATATGTAACACTACTTTCCTTGCTGTGATTCGCTTTCTACCAGTTATATTGCCCACTTGAACACAAGGATTTGGAAGGGTGCATCCATTTCACAGCATCTTGCTTGATTAATAACATCATGTATTGATTCATCAGTATGTGCTTGCATCTCCTAGGCTGCATACAGGAGACTGCAGGCATAAGCAGGGAACGTAACTTCATGCAGGAAGTAACAGAAGGATATTTTCAAAGTAACCTAGTAGGCTTCTCTCAGAGGTGATGGATTTCATGGGGAACAGACACTATTCTCATGAAAAAATAAGGATTTTAGTAAGTGGTTAATCTAAGAAATTGGGGAAAATTATAAAATATACATCATCACAGCTTAGACAGAACTATAGGTTCTTTCCACACAGCTCACACTCATTAAAAAGAGTATGATCATTAATAATTGGATAGAAAAAATGAAAGAACAGCTATTCAAAAATTTATCAGACAGCACTTACTTTTTTCTAATCACGTTAACAACAGATTTTAAATAATCTTCATTTACTCTAAAAGTGAGAAAAAAATTTACTGAAACTAAGCATGTCTCATGGTTTTACCAATATATGTTTGCTCCACATAAATCTCATTTATGTGTGGAATGCTATTATGTCCAATCATTTCTAGGGGTTTCACCTTCTGTAAAAGAATTTAAGATACCCTTCTGTCTAAAAGAGCTTACTTGAATATCAAAAATACCTCATTCTTTCTACATCACAATTCACGCATTATTTACACTTAAAAAACAGTACACAAAAACACACATATAAATAAAGAAAAGAAATAGAGACTTGTGACAAAGTATTTTGGAGATTATGCACTTGCTTCCAATATTAAGAAATTAAAGTTGGAGAGAATGATTAATGTTTTACTTATACTTTCCTATTAGTCCTTCTATTGTTTGTTTTGTTTATAGAGTTTTTCCTGCATTTAAAGTCATGTTTATTACAGAAAATTCAAACTATAGAGACAAGAATAAAGAATGTATAATAAAGATTGCTCTAACTCCCAACATCTGGAGATAACCATTATTTATATTTTGGAGATCATCATTCCAAGACTTGCTCATCCTCTTTTTCTTTATTCATTCATCTGTCTGTATATTTTTTCCTCTTTCATTCTTTCTATTACATTTTACATAGATCGTATTATATTAGATGTGATGCTTTACAACTTTTCTTACTCAGCAATATGATATGAACATCATTTTATGTCAGTGAATATATAACTATTCATTCTTCCAGTTGTTACAGATTGTTGCAATGTAGACATAAGTATTCCATATCAACCTCTTGTTGATAATTTTGATTGTTTCCAACATTCTGCTTTTATAAAGCAATAGTGCACTGAAATCCTTGAAGTAATTACTTATTGAACACTTACTATGTATCACACACCATTCTAAATACTTTAAATATATTAGCAAATTTAATTGCCCAAACAATCCTATGACAGGTATTATTACCATCACTGTTTTACAGATGAAGGAACGTGATGCATAGAGAAGTTAAGTAATTTGTTCAAGTTCACAAGCCAGGAAGAGGAGAAGCTGCCATTTGAACCCTGGCAATCTAGAGCCAGTCTGTGTTCTCAACTACTGTAGTATTCTGTCATATTCTTGACAAAGGATATACATACTTTAAATCTGATACACATTGCTAAGTCCCTCTCCAAAAGGTCCTATAGTGTTACTATTTCTACAGTACTTTTAACCTTTATGCAGCATTACAGGCAAGATATGAATCTTTGGGGACATTACAGAGAGATAAGCTTGAATCTGCTCTGTTAATTACTGGTTAAGTTACTTACTTAAGTTCCAGTTTCTTCGTCTGTAAAATCAGGATAACAACGCCTTTGTTATAGGGATGTGATGCAGGTTATAAAGAATGTATATAAAAATTATCTATAATCCTTCAGATACAGGAAGGAGTCCCTCAATTACCAGTAGTTATTATACTTAATATAAATTAAATCATCTCTTGATTTTTATATACCAACCTTTCCTTGAACTGGTCAGGTTTTACCGCTCTAGCATCAATTTTAATGTTCTGTTTGTAGACATAATTTCTGTACCATATAGTATGTAGGCTCCTAGTGACATGGAACAATGCTATCTTACTTCTTCACATGGAACCATTATATTTTCTTTCTAGAGTGACTTTTAATTCCTTCTTGGTGGTGTCAAACAGGTATTAAATACATTTTCTGCTATCCAAAATATGGCATCTATGAATTGCTTTTTTAAATTTAATAAAAAATATTTGAAATGATACAGTGACTACCAAAGAGGAAGAGTATTTGGATAGTGCAGGTTGGGTGTGCGGAGAACTACTTATTTTTCATACATACATCTGCAACAGAGACAATCACCACAGAGTCCTTTTCTTCCAAAAGAGTCATCCTGGAGATAACAGAGGTCAGTGTTTGCTTCAGGTAACTACGATTTCCTCTGCTAACAGTGGAAACACCGAGAGTGGAAACAGGAATATGGAATCATCATTTCAAACCGCAGAGAAAAACCTAATTTATCATTAATATCTATGCTTCTTCCTATGTTTGGTTTAGTTGTATGGTCATAAAAAGAGTGTTTGTAACTGTATTACCAATACAATGCAAACAACCGTTAATGTTTATCATACATTTCATTTCCTGTTTGAGTAAATGCCAGTTTGCTGTGGTTTGTTAGTAAATGCATTAAAGGGACTCCAAGACTCTCTTCTTGGAGGTTCAATAGTGAAAAATAAAACTAACCACTCTTAATTTATTATAGTTTTTATCTGACTGGTTACAGAATACCACACACTGACTGATTCTCTATTCTTGTTCCTAAGGAGATGCTAGAGCCCCAAATAGGAAAAATACTATGAAATATTTTCATCTGTGAAAAAAATGTATGAAGTAATTTCCAAATCATTTGATGGAATGAATCCATGCCCCTGTGTGACTTTTATTGCCCATTAATGACAAAAGCACTGGAAGAAGAGACCCCATGTCATCCTAAATAGATAAGAAGATTCTATCAGTGAAGACTACCCAGACAATCTTGGCCATACCAGTTCCTTGACTGTACGAATTTGGGCAAGATACACATCCCAATTTCTCTTCAGCCTTAATCTTCCCACCTTTAAGGTGGGAATAAAGACTCCCACAATGACTAACAAAGGAATTCAGAAAATCCTCTCCCCAAAAATCTTTTTAATAAAACTGGAAAAACTGTCAAAACAATCAGGGCCCTACTATACAACTGAGAAGCATCTGTTTAAGAAAATATATTGAACTTCAGTGAGAAAGTTAAAATCAGTACTTCCCTGATTATGATTGAGTTTGAACATATTTTCATATGTTTATTGGCTTTTGGGTATTCTTTTGTAAAATCTCTATTTAAGCTCTTGCCCATTTCTCTTTTGAGTTGACTGTATTTTTCTTATTGATTTGTTGATGCTCTTCATAGATTCTGAATATGAACCTTTGGTCCTTTCTGTGTTGCAAATGTCGTCTCCCACTCAGGCACCCTTTCAATGTTTTACCTCTTGAGAAACATTCTGAATTTTAATATAGTGTAATTTATCAGTTATTTCTCTTACAGTTAGCACTTTTTGATTCCCATTAAGAAATATTTGCTTATCTTCAGATCATAAAGATGTTCTCCTGAATATCTTCTAGATGGTTTATTATTTGTCTTTTATATTGAGATCTACAGTCCCCCTGGAATTAATTTTTACAGATGGTGTGAAGCAGGAATCAACTTTCAAACTGCAGGATTCACTCTAAAACGCAATTCCTGGAATGGCTTCCATGCTTTAGGATAAGGAATACTTTTACAAAAGTCTGAAAGGCCCTTAGTTGACCTTGTCAACCTGTCTTATCTGTTTCAACTGCTCTTTCCCCAAACCAGTCTTAATGTCTTTCAGCTTCTCAGACTGACCAAATGACACTATCTCATCTCCAGGCCTTTGCACCTGCCAAGCACTCTTCTTCAGGCTCCTCGTGCTAATACCACGTATTCTTTCTCAATTAGGTGGAGTGTACCAGCTACGTATTCTTACTTCATCTCTTGTAGTACTGATTATACTTTTTGCTGGTGTCCATTGGTCTTCCTAGCCTGATGTAAGCTTGGTGAAGGCAGATACTGCTTGTCTCTTTCTCACCGTTATAAATCCAGTGCTAATTACTGGTACATAATAATGTCAATAAATTTGGGATGAATAAATGAATGGCCAACCCACTTTATTTTTTGGCCTCTGCCCCATGTGTCCATAGCCTCCAGTCCCAACTGTGCATACAGGCCACACTTTTGTCCAGGCTCTGTGCCATTAGGTCGTTCACACATCTTTTCTTCTACCTGGATGATCATCTTCAACTTTTCTGCCATCCATCACCCACCTTTTCCCTATTTTGCCTATTACAATTCTTTTTACCCTCTAAGTCTCAGTTGAGATGCCACAAAGGTTTCCCTAATTCTCCAGGTATTACTTGCCCAACCCATGTCTTTCTCTTATCACTGCACTGGTCACTTTGTATAATAATTGTTTTCTCATTTGTGTCCAAGAGGATGAGGTGCATGTCTTAATCACCATTCTAACCCCAGGGCCAGACCTGGTAGAAGTGTGTTAGATGAGGGGACATGGAAGATGGTACAAAGAAGTTGTCTGCCATATTGGATTAGAAACTTACATGAAAAGTTAGTTGTGGGCTGACAGAAGGTGCTATGCTCATTGTAGGCATCACTTGGCCTGTTTGTGGGGATTGAAAGTGATTTGGTGTGGCTCGGAAGGAGGAAGGGTGGTAGAAATCAAGATTTGAAAGATATAGGTATTGTGCCCATACCATGTCAAGGACTTACTTCATCCTGTATGTACTAAGGATCTACTGAAGGATTGTAAGCAAGGTTGAGCATGATGGGTTATGCATTTTAGTATGTGTCTCTGAGGACACTATGAAGAATGAATTGACTTTAGTAATACTAAAGCCACGAGCAAAATCTATTTCAATAAACGGAGCAAGAAATGAAGGGCTCAATTAAAAATAGTTATGGAAGGTAAACAGCAGAAATTATTTGACATATACTCGGAGTTATAGAATAAATAAGACTGAAGACAGGTTCCCCAGTAGGCCATGCCCTTTTTACAATGCTTTTACAAATGTTTTATGTGTTACCACTTAAAGTACCTCTGGTAATGAAGATTTATATGCAAGCTGATCCTCCCAAGAACCTATAGAAAGTCAACAAAAGGGGCCTGAAAGAAGGATCATCATACACAGCATTGTTGAAAATCAGAAAATAGTTTGGTAATTACAAAAATTATTCAGGATTTACCATACCTCTGGTAACTGGATTATCTCAACACTCCAATCCCCTACACAAGGAGTTCTATTGCTTCCCAATTACCAACATCTCTCCCACCTTCCTTTCACTCTGTATCATGGGCTTCTCCTTAGCTTTTCTGATAGTTACCCAACCAAAGTGTCCTTGTTCTTGGTATCTAATATTTTATAGTTCCTAGTACTGCTTTTTTTTCTGCATCTTTCAACTCCTCCTCCTCCTTAAATTAGCCTTTATCTAGCATGTATTCTTTCATACATCCGCACAATGTATATACATGTGCATGTGCCTACTTACATACCACATTCAAAATACTCCTAAGAGGGAATGTGACATGATTAAAGACTTTTAGAAGTGTGTTTCAGAGTCCCTTAATTTCTCTAAGCCTCAGTTTTCCCAGGTAAAAAATATAGAAATCATAGGCTCTACTACACTGGACCGGGAGATAGTGAAATAGAACAGTAACTCAGTACCTGGAACACAGATGTTTAACTAAGTCATCTGGCACCCTTATCCCAACACAACAGGCCTGTCAGAGGCCTGTGATGTAGAGCAGCACTACCTATTCCCAAGGAACTAGCTAGAGCAAAGCTCAGTAAGCTTTTACTACAAAGGGTCAGACAGTAAACATTTTTGGCTCTTGGGTCATACTGTCTCTGTCGAAACTATTCTGTCATTATAGTGCAAAAACAGCCACAGGACACAAGTGAACACAGAGTATGGCCATTGTCCAAAAAGCTGTGTAAGAACAGGCAGATTTGGTTTGTGGGCTGTAGTTTGCTGACCCCTGGCCTGCAACAATTCACTCCTTAGAATGAATGAGGGTTGTAACCACAGCAAACATTCTGAGACTTGCCCTAATATCCCTGCTTCTAACTCAAATGCTTTTTCCCTTCTTGTATACCTGGTGTACTTGAATTCATTCTTCAAGGCTTAGCTCAAACATCATCTCTTCTGTAAAGTTTTGCTGACCTGAGCCCCCAGAAAGATGGGGAAATAGGAAAATAACCAGAGAAGAATGAATTTATTAAACCAAAGGAGACAAGAATTGCTAAGCACTTAGCAGGAGTTTAATGTATGTTTACTTTCATTAAAATAAAACTGAATTTGAATTCATCTCCAAATTTTGGTTAAACTACTTTTTCTTCCAGACAATATATCAATTTCTGGTCATCCAAATTAAGGCCAGATAGGCCAGTGGTCTATATATGGAGGTCAGTATCATAATCTTATTAATGCATTACATTTTAAAACTTAAAAGATCAAAATATCTTTATTTGATCTTTCAGTTCTCTTTTCTTACCTCCTGTTTTCTCTTTGCCAATGATTAAATCAGGATAAATACGGCCTACATTCCTTAGATGAGGAAAAAAGAACTTTAAGACTTCAAATGTCTTAGGTACTGTTTCATCCTTACCCAAGGTATTCACATTCTTTTCAACTGAAAGAGAAAAAGTAGGGCTTCTGAGCTCACAACTATAGGGATTTTTCTCCCTCTAGCACAATTTCTAAAATTAGATTTACAGATTAATTTAGTATTCAATATGTAAGAGAAATACCATTAAAAATGAATTATCAAAATCTTGTGCCTATAAAACATAGTTCAAATTGATTCATATTTACTTAAAAAGTAACATTTAATTTAAGCCTAACACTATGAGCTATAAAACCAGAAACTAATAGAAATGTTAGTTCCAAATAAAGTAGACTGAAGCATACTATAATTGATCTGTTTTGCTACTTTGATTTATATCATACCTTTAAAGTTTGTATCTTTAAAAGTTTTTATAGCCCCTCAACATTTAATGACTCCATTTGTATCATTCATTTGATATAATTCTTAAAGAAAAGAACAAGGTTAGAGGACTCATACTACCCAATTGAATTTATAACATATCAGACAATAATCAAGACAGTGTGGTATTACAGAAAAAAGAGATCTATAAACCAATAGAACAGAATACAGAATCCAAAAATAGATCAATACAAATGCAGTCAACTGATTTTGGAAAAAGTGCAAAGGCAATTCAATGCAGAGAGGACAGTTTATTTTGACAAATGGTACTGGAGTACATGGATATCCACATGAAAAAATTTGAATTTTGACCTATATTTAACACCATTTATAAAAATCAACTCAAACCTTCACAGAACTAAATCTAAAACCTAGAACTGTAGAATTAAAAAAATAAAATAAAGTCTTTATGACTCTGAGCTAAGTGAAGAGTTTTTTGATACAACATCAAAAAGAATACATAAAAAGAAAAACTGGTAAATTGTAATTCATCAAAATTAATAATATTTGCTTTCTGAAGGACTATTTTTTCTTCTATCTCCAGCTTTGTCCATAAGGAGAATGAAAAGACAAGCCACAGACTGGGGAAGAAAATATCTCCAAATCACATATCCATCTGACATGTATCCAGTATATACACAGAACTCTGAAAACTGAACAAGAAGAAAACAAACCATCGAATTAAAAAATGTGCAAAAGATTTAAAATTTAAATATTTAGCCAAAGAAGATACATGAATGGCAATTAAGCACATAAAAAATGTTCAACATCATTCATCACTAGAGAAATACAACTTAAAACTGAGATACCATAACATTAAAATGACTACAATAATCTGGAGTGACTAGAACTTTCATACATTGCTGCAAATGTACAATTGCTTTGGCAGTCTGAAAAACAGTTGGGCAGTTTTTCATAAAGTTAAACATACACTTACTATATGCCCATCAATCCTAGATATTTATCCAGAAGAAATGAAAATTCTCTTTGTACGAAACACCTGTACATGAATGTTCATAGCAACATGTATTTGTAATCACAAAAAAAACTGAAAACAACTCAAATGTCCCTCAGTTGGTAAAAAGATAAACTATGCACTGACATCCATACAATGAGAAGCTACCTAGCAATAAAAAGGCAACCAACAATTGGTTAAACAAAAACTTAGATGAATGTATGTTAAGTAAAAGAAGTCAGCTTCAAAGGGTTACACATTATATGGTTCCATTTGTATTACATCCTAGAAAAGGGAAAAACTATAAGAACAGAACAGATTGGTGGTTGCAAGGGATTAAGAATTGGGGGAGTATTTGACTACAAAGGGGGAAGCAGGAGGCAGGACTTCTCATCCTAGAGAAATGGGAGCCACTAAGGGTTGATATACAGGGAAGTATAGGCTCCACTTTGGCCACAGTGAGAATAGAAAGGTCTGGACAAAGCTGGAGATAGAAGAAAAAATAGTGTTATGATGTCATTCAGATGAATCATGAAGTTGGCCTAACTAGAGTAGTAGAGATAGTGGTGGGAAAATGTGGACATATTTTTGAGACATATAGGATTATGAGTCAACAGGATTGCTTATTAACTGTCATGGAAGTGTACATGAGGGAGAGGGAGGAGAATGATGCTCCAGTTTCTGGCTGCATCTCTTAAGATGGATCATGGATGGTGGTGCAATTCATAAAGAGAGGAAACACGGTAAGACCATTTTTGAGGTGCAGATGAGAGGAAGTTACAGTGATATCTCTTACCTGAGTTTTGCATATCTACAATAAGCGAAAAAGTACTGATTTGTCATATTTACTGGGAAGAAATGCACAAAAATCAGAAAGCATAAATTCTAAATTTCCAAACAGAAAAGAAACCACTATACACAAAAACAAAAGAAGTACAGATGTAAGTTCACTGACATATTTTCTCTCTGTGTAATTTCATACTTCATTTTATTCAAGGCTTTCATCAGTTTGTGGTGATTTTTTTCAGTTTTGTTTTTTATGTGTAGAATATTTTCCTTAAACTCCAAAATATGGTTTCTACAATTAATTAATTGGTTACCTGCAAAGAAACATACATATAGTTTTATACATGTAGCAATGGTGTATACTTTTCTATAATGTATAACAAAAATACAAAATATATGCTTCAATGTATATCTATATATGGTGTATATACATATAGTGTATATTCATATAAAGCATGTATATATATATACATATATACACATAAAAGACTGGAAAAAAGAATGAAATGTTAAAAATAGTAAAATCTGAAAGGTGAGATTATCAGTAGTTTTGCTTTGTTACTTTGTATTTTTCTAAGATTTCCAATTTTCCATTTTGTGCATGTATTAGATTTGCAATTAGAGGCAAAAACCACTTCGGCCAAAAAATTCACTTCTAAGAATTTATCTGAAGAAAATATCAGAAATATGTACACAGACTTGGCTCTAAGGATTTTCAACAGAGAGCATTATTCATCATTGTAAGATAATCAGGAACAACCTAAATGCCCAATAGAAATATGCTGAATAAATTACATAATATTCCTTTAAATGTTCTGCTGGCTCTACTGTTAAATCATATATAACTGGATCCCAGTTTTGCCACTTAATATTGGTATGATGTTGGGCAAGCTATTAGTTTTTTGTTATCCTCTGTTCTTTCATATGTAAATAGATACATACAAATGCCTGCCTCAGAATTGTTGAGAAGATTTAATGTGATAATGCATGTAAAGCATGTGGCAAAGTACTGTTTGACAAATGTCTAGTAAGTATTATCTATCAATGGACTACTATTTAGTCATTTATCAGTTGAGTACTATGGAGTACTACAACACCTTGTAGAAGAATATTTAATGTAAAAAATTGTTTTCTAGAAACAAAAGTCATGTTATATTGCTTCTATAATCAGAAAAAATTTAACAAAAGAAAGTAAACACCTCTTACTTGTCTCTTATATTGTTCTTATAAACAACTCTTATATTGCTCTCTATCAATGGAAATACAAAACCAAAAAAAAAGATATGGTCAGTTCTTGCCTTTGGGAAGTTTATAGGCTAACTGGTAGAACTAACTAAATTGATAATTTAAATCATTGTGATATTTCTGAAAATATTTCTGCATTTTGCATATTCACAATAAGAGAAAAAGTACTGATTTCTCATATTTACTGGGAAGAAATGCACAAAAATCAGAAAGCATAAAATCTAAATTTCCAAACAGAAAAGAAACCACTATACACAAAAACAAAAGAAGTACAGACGTAAGTTCACTGACATATTTTCTCTCTGTGTAATTTCATACTTCATTTTATTCAAGGCTGATGGAAAGATTTCCTTTTTCTTGGGTTTTAACTAATTAAGAATACACATAGATTAACTCCAGCCCTCAAGAGGGGCTATCAGCTGTATCTGTGGTTCTCTGACAATGGGTCTATGTCAGAGTGCACTGAGATATCCTACATGCCCACCCAAGTTAACTTACCCCTACTCCCACCCCATTATTGAAGGAGAAGCTGGACAACAGTGAGGCCACACCCACAATGAGATGACCTACCACCTGGGCTTACTTCAGAGGAAAAAGTGAAGAGAGCTGGCCCAGCTTTAGAGAGTATGTAAGACAGGTAAGAGAAAGTTGCCTTTTCAAGGAAGCAATTCTGCTGCCTTGTCGATGTAGCCTATAGAAGTCAGGTCTGACCAATCTCACCTTTCAGATGAATCTGTTTCCTAAGACAGCTAAAGTGCTCCTGGAAGAAGTCCACGTGTTCACTTTAAAATGCCCTTTCTGGGAGAGCAAAATGAAAGCTATCCCCCTGAAGAAAACACGTGCCTCGCAGAACAAGGTTTGAAGCCCTAGCTGGTGTGACAATAGGAAGCACAGAGAACAGAATTTAGGCAGCTTGGAGGAGAAGAGAGAACGTTGGAGGAAGATTCTGGAGGATACGATGCTTGAGCCGACTCTTGAAGCAGTGTGACTTGGTCAAGGAAAGCAAGGCAAGGCCTTTGCTTGGAGCACAGTGTGGGAAAGGCAAAGAGGTGTTTAAATACATGGTCCTACAGACCTAGAAGCTGCTCATTATTTCAGGGAAAATTCAGAAATGATATTAAAAGAGGGATCTGGTTATGATAATCTTTTTGATAAGCTATGATAAGGAGTTTGAACTTTTCCATGTAAATCAGTGGTTTTCAAACCTTTCTTCTAAAAAACTTCTAATGGCAGTAAATTTGTATGAAAGGGATACCACCATTGGAAGGCATAACCTGAAATAGGCCACCACAGTCATGAAATTTCTGTGAAGTTTCTTTAAAATGTGTACAAATTTTATAGCTCATTCCACAGTACATATTTAGGAGTTTTCTTAATTTTCATTAATTTATTTTCTTAAATTGTGCTGTAACTGGCATATAACACCCTAGTAGTTTCAGGTGTACAACATAATGATCTGATATTTGTATACATTATGAAATGATCACCACAGCAAGTATAGTTAAAACATTTGTTTTACTCTAAAGATAAAGGAGTCACTCTCTGCTTCCCTTTCCCCAATTTTTTTTCAGATGACGTACATCTTGGAACCCCTCTACAGACTAGCATGGGAACAACTATTTCAATTGAGAAACATGGCTGAAGACTATTAGGCACAATCTGTGCATTAGAAAGATCTTTCTGGAGACCATCCAGAAGATTGTTCCAGGAAGGCATAACTAGAGCTGGAGAAATCACCAGCTAGGAAGCTGTAGTGATACACTATAGATCAGTAGTTTCCTGTGAGAGATGTTAAGAGAGTAAACCAAGGCAGAAAAGATTAGGAAATAGGGATGAATATGAGAAATATCTGAGAGCATTTATGGGAAAGACTTACTAATTGAAAGTGAGGAGACTAGAATCCTTGCCAGGTTCTGACATGACCAACGGATTTCTAAACTGGTATTCAGTCTGGACAACAGGAAAAGAGCAGGGCCAGAAGTATTTGTGATGTTTCCGAGGCATCCGAATATGTGGCAAACGTTTGCCTACACAACTTTAAAGCTGAAGGGAGAGATGAAGGCTGGTATTTTAGATTTGAGAGCAAAAGTCTTGAGATTCACTTTTAAACTGGAAAAAGAAAATACAGTGATTAAAATACTGTCCCAGTCGTATCTCCTGCTGTTTAATTTAGCCCTGCCTTGGCTCACACTAGCTTTAGTCTAGGGCAGAGGGTTTAGTCTTTGAAATCCAGCAAGCTGCTTAAGTGTGTGGTTCTCAGAGTCTTGCATCCCTGGCCGCAGGCAGCAGTGACCCCTCCTGACACAGCTGCATGTGCACCTTGCTGGGTCCAGTCACCCTTCAGACAGGCAGCAGCTGACAGACTGTAATGTGCTGACCTTTCTCTGCCAGCCTCAATGATCACCCACCCCAGAAACAACAGAGGAAAGTAAATGCACTACTCCACTACTCCGTAAAAGATATTTCGTCTTTCCTCCTTGGTTCGGAGGGATCCTCACCCAGCTCAGCCAGCTCCATTTGTCTTGTCAGTAGCAATTCTCCATTCCCAATTATGTCACTGAGTCCCCCAAATGCAATAGTTTCATGCTATATGGGTCATCCTGCCAATAGGGACTCCCATCAGTAAGGTTCACACACAGAGAAGTAGATTTGGGATTTGTGGATAGCTGAGCTTGCTAACCAGGGCTGTGGAGCCTGGACAGAGAATTCCGGCAGCCCTCCAGCAGCAGGTGTAATGCCCCATCCCTGCACAAGTCCCTGTCAGCTATGGTATGACCACCAGAACCTAAGGTTCTACATCTGTAGTCTTCACTAGTGAGTGAATGGTGGCACAGGGTACATGGTTTCCTCCCTCAATTCTCATGCAGTAAAAGCAAGACAAGAGTGAAAGACGAAGGATGAGAGTGAAAATGCACTGCTGCTTCCAAGCCACATTTTAATCCTCACATGCACATCACTCACTTGGGAAAAAAGTGGACGGTTTGCTGCTCTGGCCTAATTTTTTCTTCAAAGCCTCTTAATTTGGGCCCCAGAGATGGTGCAGCTGAAGCAACAATAGGTAAGTCTCCGGCACCAGCCAGTTTCTGGTTGGCGACCTGCTGTGGTCACCACTTCCTTCACAGGGAAATATTGGGAATTCACACTTTATAAATGGAGAAATCACCTATAGCAGAGAATATCTATCTATCATCTATCTATCTATCTATCTATCTATCTATCTATCTATCTATCTATCTATCATCTATCTATCTATCTATCTATATCTATCATCTATCTATCTATCAATCATCTATCTATCATCTATCTATCTATCATCTATCTATCTATCTGTATCTATTACCTATCTATCCATCCATCCATCCACACACATAGCAGAGAAATCACCAACTATTTGGTCTCAGTAGATATTGGTGAGTACAGAATAAAAGCAACTTTCTCTACTTTCACAAAACACTGTGTATCCAGTGTTCAGAATTCCTTTAGAGTTGTAAGTAAAGCCTAAGAGTTTTTGCGGGAAGAGATGCTCTTCTTGGAGACTTCCCCTACATCTCACTAGCCAGAACGGTCATGTGGTCACCTCATTCATTCATCAAATACTTATTAAGCTTAATGCTACTTCATGTGCTGGGGATACAGCAATGATCAAAGCAGATAAAACTCACTGTCCTCTTGGAGCTTACATCATACAGGATGTAAATGTACAAAAAACAAAATAAATAAGTGAATTATACATATCATTTGAGGATGCTAAATACTGGAAAAACATAAGGCAGGAAATAAGAATACAGTGTTGATGGTGGGGAAGGTTTTATTTGTAAATAGGGTGATCAGGGAAGGCTTTTCTTAAAAGATAATGATTGAACAAAGACCAGAACAAAGTGAATGGAGAGTTGTAAGTAGCTGAGGAATGAGCATTTTTGACAGAGAGGACAGCAGGCACTAAAGCCCTGAGCAGAAGCAGGCCCATGATTTCCACAAATGGCATGGAGGCCAGTGTGCTGAAACAGAATGAATGAGGGGGAGGTTAGTAGGTGATGAAATTAAAATGCTACCTTTATAAGTACTCTAA